CGCTCTCTCACACACACACTTACACGCTCACACACGTACACTCTCGCTCACACACACACACTTGCTCGCTCACACACACGCTCGCTCGCTCGCTCACACACACACACACTCGCTCGCTCTCACACACACACACTTACACGCTCTCTCACACACACACTTACACGCTCTCTCACACACACACATACACACTCTCACACACTTACACGCTCTCTCACACACACACATACACACTCTCACACACTTACACGCTCTCTCACACACACACATACACACTCTCACACACTTACACGCTCTCTCACACACACACATACACACTCTCACACACTTACACGCTCTCTCACACACACACATACACACTCTCACACACTTACACGCTCTCTCACACACACACATACACACTCTCACACACTTACACGCTCTCTCACACACACACATACACACTCTCACACACTTACACGCTCTCTCACACACACACATACACACTCTCACACACTTACACGCTCTCTCACACACACACTTACACGCTCTCTCACACACACACATACACACTCTCACACACTTACACGCTCGCTCACACACACACACACTTGCTCGCTCGCACACACACACACACACACTCACTCGCTCTTACACGCTCTCACACACACACACACACACACACTTACACGCTCTCACACACTTACATGCTCTCACACACACACTTACACGCTTACACGCGCTCTCACACGCTTACACGCGCTCTCACACACTTACACGCGCTCTCACACACTTACACGCGCTCTCACACACTTACACGCGCTCTCACACACTTACACGCGCTCTCACACACTTACACGCGCTCTCACACACTTACACGCGCTCTCACACACTTACACGCGCTCTCACACACTTACACGCGCTCTCACACACTTACACGCGCTCTCACACACTTACACGCGCTCTCACACACTTACACGCGCTCACACACTTACACGCTCTCTCACGCGCTCACACACTTACACGCTCTCTCACACACACACACGCTCTCTCACACACACACATACACGCTCTCTCACACACACAGGTGCAGCTCAATAAATTAGAATGTTGTGGAAAAGTTCATTTATTTCAGTAATTCAACTCAAATTGTGAAACTTGTGTATTAAATAAATTCAATGCACACAGACTGAAGTAGTTTAAGTCTTTGGTTCTTTTAATTGTGATGATTTTGGCTCACATTTAACAAAAACCCACCAATTCACTATCTCAACAAATTAGAATA